GGTGGGGTGGGGTGGATTATATTATATTACAGTTAAATATTTAATTTAATATAATAATTGTGAAATATAATTAATTAATTCAAAAAAAAACCTGATTTTTGCAAATTTAAACTTTGGGACCTGATTTTTAATTTTGGTAAAGTAAATGCCTGAACCATAAATTTTTCCCTAGATTTATTCTACATGAACGTCAGGGTTTACACCTTGGTGTTGTAACATTTCATCATTGGCGGACGAAAAAAAATATTTATCCACTAATCAATGATGTTAATTAACGTAACTTCATCAAATTTTATCCACGAAATCGATGACATGATACTCAATAAAAGTACGTAAGTATTAGTTGTTGACATAAAACAAGTACAACTTAATTGAAAGAAATGACGATCATCATATATTGATAGTCGTATCATCGATTTTTATCATATCAAAGAATTATCCAATTGAAATCAAATTAAAATATAATGATTTAGTTAAACAAAATTGAAGTACAATTACACGATTGACAAGAATAAAAATACAATTACCAACCCAACAATTATCTATGTTCATGGATTCAAATTTATCGCAATGAAACTTTGGGTGAAATTGAAATAAGAGTGTTGACATTTTGCAGCAATTTCATAGAGAATGACATCATATTTGACAAATTATTACCTACATGGCCAATTTGGCATCCCTACCTAACAAATCTATATTATGCCAATCTTTAAATAACTCCTCCCAAGTACCAAATAGAGTTGCCCAAGATGAGAGGGCTTATATAGTACTGCCCCTCTTTCCAAAATGCTGACTTTCAAGAATGTACTTTGAATGGTAGTATACAATAACATTTCTTTTTGTTTCTAAAGGTTTAACCCTAAATTTGGGGGCCCCCACGGCCTTATCCCTAGAGTATTGTGGAGGTGGTAAATTACAGGATGTGCGTCAACAGGTTAGGGTACAAGAGCTGCCATACTGGTACCCACAAAGATTCTAATTATATACCTTGTAAGAGACAGAAATCGAACCCTCACACTGTGGCTGTCAGCTCAACTGAGATTACCTCACTCTTATCTTTTGCACCACTGAACTATGCCCCGGGAGGCAACATTTCTTTTTGTTTCTAAATTATGTCTAGTCTTGTCTACCCCAAGATACATAAACATAGTCGTCTTGAGAATAAAAATGAGAGACTCATGGAAGAAGACACATGAAAGCGAGTGGAGCTGTGTTTCCTAAAAGAATGAACTTATGTCGGGCTTAAACTTTTACATACGAGTACCTGCATACGACATCTAAAACAAAGTGCAAATGATTCCGGGACACTAATGTCTAAAATAATTCTATAATGGTAAAAATAATTACTTTGGTCTATTACACAGTTATTATTCAATTTTGAAGAAATCAGAAAGGGAAATACAATTTTGGGCAAGCAAAGAAAAATATTCAAATTATAATTCTATGGTTGCAAGAGAATGACTAAGAGACGATCATTCGCTTCACGATTACCAACTCACCATACATAATTCACGATTCGACATGGTCTTAAACCAAGCACTAAATTAAAGCCTTTAACACCTAATAAAGCAGAAATATGAATATGCGAATGGCAGCCTGGTCTAATCAGTTGAAATAAAACTAAACACAGGAACAAGTCATGGAATCACAGTATTCAGAATAGAACTAGTAGCAAGCTCAGAACCAGATTTGAAGATAAATATGTGATTACAATATTAATCAATCAAGAAAAACATGTGTGCCTTATCCCAAGATGGTCAAAAACATCATAAGAAACAAAAACTTGCATCAAATAGATTAGAGTATTAATAAATAGAAGCTGCATCAGCAAGCTTGGATAAAGATAATTGCATTGCCTGACATCAATAGATGTCCATCCCAGAACATGGTAAATAGCAAAGTCTTGCAGATATATCTATTAAATTCAAGTGAAAAATGTGAAAAATGTGTGGTAAAGGGAAACCATTAATATTGCAACTAGAAACTCAGCAAAGCTTACATCAACAGAAGGCAGTTGAAGCCACACGAGATATGCAGACTCCATATGATAGTAGAAAGGAAACCTCAAAGTAGAACTAATATTGCTTCAGGGAAAGCTAAGTTCGACTGATAAATAACTAATCTACACTTTTAAACTTGTGTGTGTGTGGAGTGGGACAGGACGGGATGGAGTGGGGTGGGGTGGGGTGGGATTGAGAAATTTAAGTTTCAAAACTGTACCTGCAGAGAAATTTCACTGTAAACAACACTAAAAGAGCCATATAAAAGTAAGTTTAGTTAAAGTCCAAGAGCCATTAAATGAATATGTGATCTCAGTTGAAAGAACCCAGATAACCTAATGCATACAACATGTTAGCTAGAATCCGGTTTTATTCAATGAAAGTATACAACTCAGGTATGCAATTTTACAAGCCAATTATCACCAAATATCTTCAATCGAAGTCTGCCTATTGTATTGCAGTTTATAAAAATAACAAAAACCATGATATCTGAACTTGCACCAATACACACATTCACATATAAGTTCTCCCGCGTGGTTTTGGAAATAACTTCAACAGTAGACGCATTATTTTCATAGTTGTAGCATTTTATTCATAATATTTTGCACGTAGTCGTAGCGCAAGGAAATTTCAACAGTCTTGTTAACCAGAACACAAAAGCCATTTTCATTGCTCATCTTCATCTCTCGATTCAATGGCCATAAATGTATAATAAACAGGTAAACCAGTCCCTACAGAATAGCTGCAGAAAATGTGCATAATCAGTCATCTAAATGTTAAAGCTTAACAGAATATGTGGAGAATTAAGTGTAATGTTACCACCAGCTCTAGAAATGGCAATTTCATGCATAAGCAACGCAAAGCAATGACGATGGTGTTACATGTTAGTAGTGTCACTGAAAATAACAAGTGACCTTGACAGGAATACATAAGCATAATATGCACGTGAAGGACCTATTCCCAAGCGATATCAGTATACTTCAAAATTGACGTGTCATCAGAAAAATGGAAAATAGAACGCTAAGGTTCAGAGAACTTTGTCTTAGGTGATAACTATGTGAAAGATTTGAAGTTCACCACGTTGTTCGAATAACAACATTAAAATCAATGGGACTAAGAGGCAATCATAATCCCACCTGCATTTGTTATAGTATGATGTGAACATAAGTCACAACTACATTTGTTGGGTTTTGATACCCAATAAATCCCGGGCAATGATGTTAAAACAGTTTAGAATATATTTCATAGGCCTCGACAGATAAGTGAAATAATTATCAATACAATCAATTTATATGCTTGACCCGAAAGTAACGTGGGCTTCTAGTAGCAACTTAATTTGTTAATGTTGCCTTTGCCCAAATTCATTTATAGGATGTCTTTATTGTGCCTTGGCCAATTACTTTGTGTCTTTGTCCAATTGATGATATAACCTAACCTATATATACCCATTTTCTATGTGTTGGAAACGTGTGTGTGCTTTGTGCTGTGAAGAGAAAACCGTTGCTGCTTCCCATCTTCTTCTTCTTTGTGCATTTTGCCTCTGTTGTTTCTCTTTGCCTTTTTGGCTTGCAAATCTCCACCATAACCTTGCCTCTTTGTGGGTGAGAAAGGAAGAAAGCAATCATTAGTGAATACAAGTTGTGGGTCGGAGTTTTAATTGATTGTTTGATATCAATTGATAAGTTGAAACTGAGCTTGAATTCCACCAACTGAAGGTCCATTCCGTGACAACATTAAAGTACAGCAGACAGGAATCATCGAGAACAAATAAAAGATCAATAACTTTCACTCGCCGCACCTGAAAATCAAATTATTATAACTTCAAGAAAAGAGAACAAAATCTTCTGCTACAGCCATTCAGGATCAAAAGCTTGGAAATGTAAATGAGACAAAAAGTAAAAAAATAATAATAATAATAATAAAAAAAATAATAAATAAAAATATATATATGTGTGTGTGTGTTTTGTGTGTCGTAATACTGTTGAATAACGTAAATTTGTGCATTTTCTCGCTTGCTCTCTTTTTATATTGTTTATCATTATTGTCGCACATAACGTAACAAAGTTTGATTTAAATTTACCCCCAATTCCAATTTTTAAAATAGAAATTCACTGCAAAGAAACATTCCCATTGATTTTATTATTTGAATTGATATACACAGAATATGTGGGCTACTTCCCCCGTTTTACTCCATTATTTGAGATTATAATTTTTGGAATAGCGTTCACGACTGTGCGGAAAATTACAAAATTTCTGCTTAAATTGCAGAGGAATATAATCAAAAATCAATTTTACGCGTGACCTACTACAAAAATATATGAATTTCGATTTCTAGTGAAGAAATATTGGCTGAAGTCAAAGCTTTAAATAAAAATGACCTCGCTCTAATATTTTATCAACTTTTATAAAAATGTAATAATACATTCTTTTACCTTTTATCAAAATCTACTAAAAATTCGATTTTTAACCAAATCGAACAGGACTGCCGAAGAAAAAGTTGCTTAAAATCAGATTTTTTTTTTTCAACTAGTTTCCGCATTAAAACTCCTTAATTATAAGTAGTTGAGCAGATTGCAGAATTAATGAATAACTTTGACAAATTTGTGCTTTTAAAATGAATGAAGGAACGACTTTAAACTAATTTGATCATTTGTAAAAAGTAACTTTTTTTTCCTTTGAATTGCTTTCGTATCACTATAAATATACCGTTTCATTCTACAGCACAGTGATCAAATCGATCTTTTTATCTGGCTATACAGCAGCAAGTGTTTACCAGGTTAGAATTAATTCTCTTTCATTTTATAATTCTGCATTTCTTGTGTAGCACTGTATTGAATTTTTTCTGCATTTTTAACTTTTCTGTTGAACATTTCTTATTGGAAAATTTCTCCTATATTTTGTGAATGAGGCTTTTTTTATTGACAAATAGGTTACATCTAAGTTTCTATAATTGACACTTAATAATTTTATAAGAATCCTTCTCAAATGAATTAGTTTCTGACATTTTCAAGTTATAGCGACATTTTCGATCTCTGACATTTTCAAGTTATGTGATTCTACAAGTAAAGTTATTAGTATTACTTTTTGCTCGCGATTACATGTTAAACAATTTAATTAATTTTGGATCGTTGATTTTATGAAAGTGTTTTCTAGGGTTTCACTGATCTTGACCGTATCACGCGTAATTCAGTATAATAAAATTAATTAAGTTTCCAATTCGATTCAATTTAGCCTGTCTTTGCAAAAAAAAAATGCATTTTGAAGTAGTGATTTGATGAAGAATGTATGGTTAAAAAATAAAGAAAATTTTGAATTTGAGTGTTATATTATTTTATTGAAGAATGTACGGTTGAAAATAAGAGAGAGAATAATATATTTTAAAAATAACGAGAATTAAAATATAATATCAAAAATGTCAACGTTGTTGTAGCGTAGTTAGTCAGGCCATTAACACATATACTACGTATGTTTGCTAAGCTTAAGAATATTACTTCAGATTGGTTGGCCCCCATTTTGAAAAAAAAATTATAAATTTTGGAATAGTGATTAATGAGAGAATGTATGGTTGAAAAATAATGAAAAATTTTAGATTTGTGTGTAATATTATTTTATTTAGAGAATGTGTGGTTAAAATTAAAAAAGAGAAAAATTTAAAAAAAATTAATGGTGCCAAACAATAGCATATAAAAATAATTCAAATTAACTATCATTAAAATAAATAATCTTTTTTTTAAAAAAATATATAGGGGCATGTTTGAGTGAAAAAAAATTGTGTTTGCGTGTAGTATTATTTTATTGAAAAATTTGTGATTAAGAAAAATGAAAAATATAATAATAAGGAAACAAATAACCTTTCCATAAAAAAAAATACTTTAAAAGTGACTTGCAACCTCCGTTAACCAGTTAAGATGAATTTGATGTTGTGGGTGGTTTAAAGCAGAGAACTTGTGAACGGAATTGCCGTTTTCTTTTTTTTCTCTTCCAAGAAGCAAGCAAAAATTCAAAGTCAACAATTGTGAGAATGGGTAAAAGGAAATCCATATTACCCTTAAAATTTGGAAGAATAGATATGGATAAGATATGATAAAAAAAAAGTTTCATAAATGAACAGTAAATAGTGAATTGTCTCTTTTGAAATAGTAGGGATATGGGCATGTTTCAGTAAAAAAAATTTGAGTTGGTATGTATAATTATTTTATAGAAAAATGTGTGGTTAAAAAAAAATAACCTTTCCATAAAAAAAAACTACTTAAAAAGTAAGTTTATTTAGCCAAATACGCCCTGAACAAGTTCCACAAATAACTAAGTGTACAACTAGAATTTTTCAATAATTTCCTTCAAGCAGAAGTTTCAGTCTTTACCAGGTAAAGACTACTGGTCAATACGAAGTGGTATACCACCAGTTCTCTCCGCGTCAAGCCACCCCATCTTATCCTTATGTACTATAGCAGAGAAGAGGAGAGGAGGAAAACATTGCTTCCGGCGTAACCCATCTACAATCTGAATTAAATGAATGCGTGCAAGCTATTTTGTTCATAATCTAAGACCACCACTGCCACAATTTCTTGGAGGTGCTTAACGGTTTCAATTCACTTTAAGCTTCTTCTTTCCTTATCAGCCTCAATCTTAGTCTTTGTATCATTACATTTATTCCTTTATATATACACAATCATTTTCTTCTCTTTCTATAAACTTGTAACTACGTATTTAGATTATCCAATAAAATCTCTCTCTTTTTCTGTCTTGGAATACTGTTTATTTCGGATCTATTTAAATCAAGGTGTTGATTCTCCAGTCATTTTCTATCAGGTATCGCTTTCTTTCTCTGTCTGGATTTGATGTTTCTATTTTTAGTTCTGGTTGGGATTCTGTTAATTTCTTGCTTTTGTTATTTGGGAACTTGAATTTGCACTCTTAAGATAACAAGATTGTTCAATAAATTGATCTTTCTTTGTATTTCATCTGTAATTTATGTAATCCAGCCTTAACTTAGAAATCTAAAGCTGGGTTTCTCAAATTTTCTGGGGAAATTAGATTGTGTCACTATTAAGATTAGAAAAATTGATATATGTTTGTATTTCATCTGTAATTTATGTAATGCAACCTTATAAATTTAACGGAGGATTTCTCAATTTTGTTGGGGAACTTGATTATTACACTTTTAAGATCAGAAGATTGATGGAATAAATTGAGGTATTTTTGTATTTCATCTGTAATTATGTATTGCAGCCTTAAACAGAGAAAATTTTGAAAATGGGTTTCTCATTTTTTTTCGGAGCTTGATTAATTGATGCTTTATTCTTTAACATAGAAATTTAAAGTCGGGTTTCTCGATTTTGTTTGGATTTGTGTATATAAATCAGCTTTGGGATCATGGGAAGCCATATGAGCAAGAAGCCTGGGGAAACTTCGAGTTCGATCAACAATCTGCAATGCGCAACTGATCTGAATTCTTATGAAGCCGCGTGCAGGGTCGACAAAGATTTACAGTCCTTTGATAATACTCTCCAAGCGCGAACCAACAACGTTATCAATGCTCTTGCTGTCGGGGTTGAGGTTAGAGCCCTGTCGTTTGATTCCTTGAAGGAAATCACAGAATGTCTGTTGGAGATGAATCAGGAGGTTGTTAAAGTTATCTTGGATTGTAAGGAAGACATATGGACGAATCACGAATTATTCGAGCTAGTTGAGGAGTACTTTGAGAATAGCCTCAAGATTCTAGACTTCTGTACTGCATTGGAGAAGTGCTTAAAGCGCGCTCGTGATAGTCAATTGCTTATTCTTGTGGCACTTCAACAATTTGAAGAAGAAGACAAGGTGGAAGGGAATAATAAGTACACTAAGACATTGGAGGAGCTGAAGATTTTCAAGAATGCTGGTGACCCTTTCACCGAAGAATTCTTCCAAATTTTTCAATCTGTTTACAGGCAGCAAATTCACATGTTAGAAAAGTTGCAAATGCATAAGGGCAAGCTTGATAGGAAGCTTAAATCTATCCATGCTTGGAGAAAGGTCTCAACCGTTATATTTGCAGCTACATTCGCGGCTGTTCTAATTTGCTCAGTGGTGGCTGCAGCCGTGGCTGCACCACCTGTGGCTGCTGCTCTTGCCGCTGCAACTTCCATTCCATTAGGATCAATGGGAAAGTGGATTGATTCCCTTATGAAGAACTATGAAGATGCGGTCAAAGCACAGAAAGACATCCTTACCTCTATTAATGTGGGCACTTACATAACTATTAAGGATTTGGACAGCATCAGGGTTCTAATTGATCGTTTGGAAATCGAGATTGAATCTCTCTTGAAAAATGTCGACTTCGCAATCAATGAAGAAGCTGTACAATTTGCTGTGGAAGAGATCAAGAAAAAACTAGATTTGTTCATGAAGAATATCGAGGATTTAGGGGTTCAAGCTGATGTTTTTAGTCGGGATATTCGCAGGGCTCGGACTGTCATTCTGCAAAGGATAATAAAACATCCCAACCATTGAAGATTTGACGACATCTAGTGGGTACTAAACTGATTTAGATACTGATCTTAATAATAGTTATCACTTTGATTCAAATGTTGGACTATACAGCAGAATCCATGTTATATATGAAGAATAATTGGATTCGTTCATTTATTGTTTTGTCTGTTCAAATACTCGTTTGTATTTTTGCTTAGAAATCAAGTATGTAATTTCTAGCAACATTACTTGTGAAATGTGAAAATAGAAGACTTGCCTAAAAATTTACTCAAAATGGGAGCTATCATTCACAAAGTCAAAATTTAGAAAATACGTGTCCAATGCCATATATGCAGAGACTAGTGAGATGTAAATTTTGAACCAAATGGATGAGAAAAAAGTGAGAAATGCACACTAGAATAAAGCTATATGTACATTACGGGGAATATGTCGACTTGGACGTGAACTTCAGAGGCGTTGATTCCAAAGGCATTATCAAAGTCAACGTTGTCGGTATACAATTGTGATTTCATAAACTGCATAGATCAAAAGTTTGGTTAAATGATTGCTGTCAAAATTTGAAATAATTTTTTACTCTAAAGGATGGATGAGTACACAAAATTTGAAATAATTAATATCTCTAGCGAAGCCTTTAAATGTAGAGTCCAATCCAATTCTAAGACATCGTTTTCAGTTTTCATACATTACTGGGCCTGGCTAGCCCCTGTCTTAGGTCGGGCTTGTCTTCGTGGGACCTGGTGGAACTGGACCAGCCCGGTTTCATTCGCAGTATCTACTGAAGCTTTTCTACAATTTTTGGGCTTTCAAGACTAGCCAGTTCTAAATTTTAACTGGGTTTTAAATTTTAGAGAAAAAGAGTCCATTTTGAAACATAGAAAATTGATAATGATAAAGCCAGAAAGTGTATTACTAATGTCTCTATCACCCATTCAACTTATGTTTGAACACTTTGAACTTTTATCTATACAAATTCAACATAGGAGAGAGGAAGTGATTTGGAGAGTTAGGTGTTTGAAATTTTATAATGTCTTATCATGTATTTATTACTCTGGATTAACTTATACACTAGATAGACGAGCATAACAAAATGGCATCATACGATAATAGTTTAAGAAACTAGATGGATCGATAGGTTCGACTAAATACCCATCAAATAGACCAGCTAACCGGTGTTGGGCAGCCAATGAGCAATAAAGGATTAGGGTAGGGTGGGGTAGGTTTCAAAATATAGAAATAAAGGAATTTTGAAAGGAGTAATTCTATTTAACCCTAATTTATGTGTTAACACATAATATGATTTAAGAACCATGCTAGATGTACACACTTGGTTTTATCATGTATTTATTACTCTGGATTGACTTATACACTAGATAGACGAGCATAAAAAAATGGCATCATACGATAATAGTTTAAGAAACTAGATGGATCGATAGGTTCGACTAAATACCCATCAAATAGACCAGCTAACCGGTGTTGGGCAGCCAATGAGCAATAAAGGATTAGGGTAGGGTGGGGTGGGTTTCAAAATATAGAAATAAAGGAATTTTGAAAGGAGTAATTCTATTTAACCCTAATTTATGTGTTAACACATAATATGATTTAAGAACCATGCTAGATGTACACACTTGATTCACATTAAGTTTCACATCCCCCTCACATGGGGACGGGGCCCGCGGTTAGATATACACACTTGGTTCACATTAAGTTTCACATCCCCTTCACATGGGGTGGGGCCCACAATCGCGGACCCTACCCCCATGTGAAGGAATATGAACCAAGTGTGTACATTTAACTTTATTGTAAATTTAATTAAGTATATCATTTAGTGTCATCGGTTTTGATATCTATATAGGTGTTAAATATTAATCTTTTAAGAGTGGTAATAAAAGTTGTTTGACAGAGCTTTTAATAATCATGTATTTATTGTTGTTTGACAAATTTTTTAATTATTATGCCTTTTATGGGTTGTTTGACTAGGTTTTTAATAAAAAAATTAGCAGATTTTGGTAAAAGTGATAGATTCTATAAAATGTATGACTAAAATTAAAGTTTGATCAATTGAAAAATTGATAAAATACTTAGCAATTCTATCCAAAATCAATCGTTTTTAATCTCAAGGTGATATAATAATTGGTAGATTCAATTAAATTAAATATATGAATAAGCACTAATTTAATTGCATATGTAGCAACATTCNAAAAAAAAAAACGAACTCAAATTCTCACACACATAACCATAATCTCAAACCTTCCCTCTCTCTCTCTCTCTCTCTCTCTCTCTCTCTCTCTCTTGAATTTTATTGAAATATCGTGTGTTTGTTGAACATGTCTCTATCAAGTATATAAATTTATATTACGAATCGACAATATTTTGAGTCAAATTATAATTAAGCAAATATACTATTTATGTTGCTTCCCAGACCTTTTACAATGCCAACAAAATTGATCAAGGGCTGCTGCTTATTCTATAGAATTCATTTTAAATAACACAATCTTACCTAATGCGACATTATTGCACACACGATTTTGATATTGAGAGCGTGAAAGCGTGAGGATGGTATCATTTGTCTTCCATCCCATATCATATACAATCATTAATTTTGAATAAAAAAATTAGAGTTAAATAATCAAAATGGGTCGAATGGTTAGTAAAAAAATAAATTAATAAAAAATACCAAATTTAGAATTAATTCCGATTTTCTAGTCTCGTATAATTTCTATGACATTATCTCATGTAACACGATAATTACTGGGAGAACTTTGATACGTACAGTCTAAAGATAATTTTAAATTGAAAAGTTGCCGATTTTATTTAAAAGCGAATAAATAACATGAATTCGGCATCTTTGAGATAAGATCCAACAAAATTTAAGAAGTGATTAGTGAAATCCTAAACTTATTATCGTTATGAACTTGGAAAACGTGCAACAACTTTATTTAGATTGTGTCGATCTGCATTTGTCAAAAATATCTTTCTAGTCATTTAAATAATCAACACTCGTATATCTTGATGACTTGGTATATAAATTTGTGACATGTTTTTTAAAATATAATGTGTATATGAGAGAATAATCGAGCCGTTGATGGCGGATCCAAAGGTAATCCGGGATTAGCCGACGGAGGAGGAGTCCTACAGGACTCAAAAGGGAAATATTGGGTTGGTTTCTCTCATTACTACGGGACTTGCACTAATATGGTAGCTGAAACTCGTGCTTCTTGGTGGTTTGCATATGTGTAGGGACCTAGGAATCAGAAATAGTATAGTGGAAAAGGACTCACAGGTGCTGACACAGTGGGTGAGGAAAAGCGCTTGTTCTTTATGGTGGCTTTGGGAATATTGGGATGAAATTATGGAACTGATTGGTTTGCTTAATGCTCGAGTTCAACATGTGTATCGAGAGGCCAATATGTCGGCTGATTTTCTGGCAAAAAGGGCGAGTGATGGTACTTCTACTAATATGTTTTTTGGCAATGAGGCTCCAACTCTTCTCAAAGGAATTTTGTGTACTGATCTTTTGGAAATACCTTATCTTAGACGTTGAATATGTTATGCTTTGAAGATAACAATATGTAATTACGGTTTTCCTCCGCCATAAGTGAGGATTTTTCAATAAAATTCCCATTTTTGAAAAAAAAAAAAAACAGAGAGAATAATCGAGCTAAAAATTGAGACGAGAAGCAAATTTTGTTTGTGTTTTCTAAAAAAATGTTAGATCTTAGTCTTTGACGGGACCAATTAAATTAAGTAACGATAGTTATTTCGTCACAGCAAAGTGATGACGTTCACATCGTATTGTCCACACATACAAGGCAAAATACAATGCGAAAAGTGAGAAGTGCGAAAAATTTAAACACTGAATACTTTTCTTCTAATCGCTAAATTCTTTTTAAATTAAGCATGAGAGTGACTTTGATCACAACATTTTCATCTTTTTTGGCGATTGATTGCAATTGTGTTAATGATTCAACAATATTTAGAGACATGGACAATTTAACTCCACAGTTTCATTAATAAAAAAAAGAAAGAAAGAAAGAAAATGGACTCTATAGGTAAGATTTTTAGCTCATGCCAAAAATATATAGGTCGAAAACCTTGATTAAAATAAAATGGTTGGTACCATACATTGTATAGGGTTGTCGGGGGATAACGACCAGATAATATATAAAACTAAACTGGGTCCTACCTGTAGTTATCGGAGTGTTCTGCACCTCGTCGTTGACCACGAAAATTGTTGCAATAATTTTTTGTTGGGGACATAAAGAAAATGATTTACAAAGATATTATTTCCCGCAAAAATTGATGCACTTTTCCACCTTGTAAATCTCCGGCTTGACTTTAATTTATATGCTAATTATTCTTCACATATCATATCAATAATATATAATGCATTTTTGTAATATATATTCTCTCTTTTTCTTCTATGTGATTTCTCATATGTAAATAGAAATTGATTTGAGTGTTTCAGTGCATTTGTTGGTTAAATACGTGTATTAGACCCCTTTCTTTAGAAGTGATTAGTTTTGTAGGTTCGTTGCGTGAGTAATGTTGTGAATCTTGACGGTCCAAGTTCAATTTTCATGGTAAAATTTTATAGCTTACCAAACAAATACTATGAGAAAATTCAATTATAACGATGAATTTTATTGTTGTAAAATGTCATTTTTGAATTGTTTTGTCGAGAAAGTTTTCAATGCAACAATTTTTGTCGTTAAAAGTAAAGTTTCTTATAGTGAAATTTGATGTCGTTTAAAAACATGTAGCCAAAGGGCCTAGTTTCTTAGTTAAAGTGCCTTGGAGCAATTGTACCATACCTAAGGGGTGTGATTGTTATCTACTTACAGACAAATCTAAAGTGGTAATAGGTGACATGTCGATCAATTGAATTGTCACTGTAAATGAGTTGTCACATTAAATCTTTATTAGGTGAAAATTTAAATTTAAATTTAAATTAAAGTCAATAATTAATTTTAATTACACATTTCTTGAAATTCACAACTTTTCAACCACACATTTCATTAGTT